GCCTACCTCTCTCGAGGCGCTTGGAGTGGATCGAACGGTTTAAGGTTAGCTCTGATACCACTTGTCACGAGTCGAGACCTAAGCTCCGAACCCACGCGACTCTAGGACTTGGGCATTCACCCTTCCGACGTCTCGGATCAGCCTAACAGCCACGGTTCACACCATTATGAGGTATTATCAAATCTAATCCTATGACCTCACGATTTTATCTTACAAAAAACGTCTCACAAAGGAAAAATGGTGTGAACCCTTTTATAATCCAATGATCTTCTTATTATATTCGATGTGAGATTCAAAGACTCTTCCTTGAATACATGACAAAGTGACCACCCCCACCTCATAAAATAGTAATAGTGTGAAGCTTCCACGTTCCTACTCCTTCCCATTATTTGACCATTCTTCGTTACGTACCGGTGGCCTCAAACAATTTTAGAAAAATTAAGGTAATATAAGTATGATAGTATATTTTTATATAATTTTTTATATTAATTTTAAAAATTTTTGTATACCTTTTTACATTAAATTTAACACTATTAAAATTAAATAAAAACCTAAAAGGATAAGTCAAATGAGTAAATTTTATTTTATTTTTATAACGAAAGTAATATATCATTTTTTAAAAAATTTTTGAAAAATCTTTATATTTATATTTAAAGATAATTATAAAATCCCACCAAAAGTAAATTTTATCTAATTATATATTAATTTGTTAATTGTTAGTTTCTTTTTCTTATTGTATATTAAAAAATTGATTGATTATGATTAAGCTACATATAATTTATAAAAAAAATACTATAAATTTTTTATTTGATGCAATATGACTGTGCTGATAAGAATATTTGGTTACAAAATGAAATACGACATATTTTCAAATATGTTATCAATCTTTAATTAACTTTTATTTATTCAAAATATTATTTACTTTAGCATTTAAACATATCTTTTATCTTTTGCTTTTAGAAAAAGAAAATAAATGATAATTTATGGAGGATTCAAACATGTGATAATGTTTCATTGTCAATGAATTTGACTTTTAATGACAATGAGTTAGGGAAATCCTAATGAGCACATTTTGTACCTATCTAATTGGAATTTCCCAACTTTGATGACCGTTTTAATTTCCTACCTTATTTATGCCACTGTTTGAATCCTGAGAATGCAACATTCTTTATAGGCTTTCTTGTTACTTTGGAATGCATGCCCGGATGACCTCTTACGCGCAGTCATCGCATGTACAGATATAGGTTATAATCTGACGGTGAAAACCCTGCCAAAGAAATTGTAAGAATATCAGAGCCGTCCGTCCAAAAAACCTTGCCCTCTGCCTACTTTAATATTCCTCCATTTCTCTTACAAAATCTATAAAAAAACTTTTGAAATCAAAATATCAGACTCTAAAATATATATGTTGACATCATAAATTTTAATCAATGTATTCTTTTAACAAAAATTTAAAAATATTTTGCTGCTTTTTAAATCTTAAAATAATTTTCACATCAATAGATAGAATAATAATATACTCACATCTACTTTGCTATTATCAAATCTTTACTCACAAATAATCCCCTTTTATTACTGTTACCGACTTTTTGACACTGATATTGTCTAAATCATAATCAATCTCATTATATTAGCCAAAAACCTACGAAAAAAATAAAAAATCTTTTTTAAAATTGTTGATGAGAATATATTTTTTATAGATTTTATTAGTAACTCTATTATTCTTCATATATTTCCAAAATATTAAATAATTCAAAAAATTTTAAGATCGCAACTTTTGAAGTTCAAAACAAATTCGTAAAAAATTAAAATAGATGATTAATTACAAGTTATTTTAATGTTTTTTTTGCATATGATAAGTTTTTTATTTCAAATAAAAAATATTTATTTGCAAACGTGTCACAAGTTAAAGTCTTCTCTAAATTTGATCTCAAAGCATGATTTTGATAATTAAATATATATTTGTATGACAAATACAACACAACATTTTGCATTAGTGAAAGGTGACTCGGTGAAAATCATACAAGTTGACTCAGTTTATTACGTTAATACGTCTCTCTTGGGCTTTTTATTTAAATATTGGACTAAGATGAGAATTCGAGCTCCTGCATGTATTGCCCATTTAAAATTGGTTTAAGTTCTGATTTGGCAGGCCGCTTGATACTTTGTTTACTATTTTCTTGGGCCTTTTACCTTCAACATTGTCCAGATAATTGGGGCTGTTCTTAGCCCAATTGTATAACTTTTTTTTTTGTTACAGGCTTACAGCGTAGAATTTGTTGGTGAAGTTTGTAAATTAAAAAAAATAGTTTATTAAAAATTTTAATAAAAAACTTAAATTAATAAAATTTAATGTAAAATTTAATAATATATAAAAAAATTATTTATAATTTAAATTTAATCGATATTTATTTAACAATAAAAATTTTATCAATATTTTTATTAAAAAATATTTATCTAAAAATATATATAAAACTTAATTAAATTTTTTTTAAATTGTATACATTTGATCTATATAATAAAATTTTTTAATTTTTTAATTTTAATCATTCTAATAAAAAATTCATGAATTTTACCTAAAAATAATCTTTTCCAACTTAACAATTACATAAACCAAAAAAAAAAAAATCTCCCACGTAATATTAAAAAGTTACGTTGACAAAACTACTACAAAAAAAAAAAAAGGCGAAGAAAAAACAATTTATTTTATAGGAAAGGACAAGGACTAGAATACTATTACAAGCAGAAAGAACAAGGATTAGAATGACATCGTAAACTCTTGTTCAGTTGTTCTCAGTCCCCACCAACTCTCATCTTACATACATAAAATAACGAAAACTTCCTTTAAACCATCTAGAACAAGAAGCGTCCCTGTAAACCATCTAGTTATTTTTGCAGGAAATTAACTAAGCCATCTGAAACATAAAAAATATGGAAACTTAAAACTGCTACAATATGTTTTGTTTGGAAGGCTTAGGTGACTGCGTGCTTCCTTTCTTCACTATATATGCCTAAAGCCAGTCGACATCATTCCTTTATTTCACTACACGGGGTCAGGATGAGAACTTATTTGCTGATTCCATAAAGTTTAACATTCTCCTTAAATTGCTATAGTTCCAACTTCAAGTTCAACGACCTGAGGAGCTTGGTCTGGATTTTCATGATTCGGCGTAAAGTTCATCAAAATGGAGGGAATGGATTGGAGGGTGAGAGCGAAGCAGCGGAAAAAGTGTATAAATTGATCGAACAGTTTGTTGTGCCAAGGTGCTGTGATTATGATGAATAAACAGGCAGCCCAGAAGAGAGAAGGGGGAAAAAAGGTTGAGGCTACGAGTGATATGAATATGGCAATGGAGAAACCTCGAGCTCGCAAGCTGATGCGCTGGAGAGTGAGAGGGAGTTCAACAGAGAAGAAGAGGAATAGTAGCTTTAAGAAAATGGCAAAAAGCAAGAGTGCAAGCATTAAGGTGGAAGTTATTTGACCAATGAGGAGAGAAGCAAGTGAAAATTCAGGCTTATTTTGGGATGTAGAGACAGAAACGAGATTAAATTCAGAAAAGGAGGGAGCATATACCTCTAATCATTCAGGAGCAGCATTGTTGTTAACCTGACTTCTCTATTCTAGGGTTTTTTCTTCTTTTTTTTTACTGATTTTTTTCCTTTTCACAAATTGGAGCGCTGCTTGAGGCATATATAGAAGGTAAGAATAACGTGCAAAGAGGGAGAGATAAAATAAAGTCTAATAACGATCATATGGGAGTCCACATATTTTTTATTGCTTCCAATCTTCATTTTATATTATTTTTAATTTCTTTTTAATTATTTATTTATTTTTCTTTGACCAATGTTTATAAAAAGATTTTAAGATTTTTATCACGTTTGTAATAGAGTAAATTATTTAAAAAATAAATCATATAAAATTATCATTTTTACTGGTAATTTTTAATTATTTATTAATTTTAAAAAATAATAAATATACAATAAATTTTCTTATATAAAAATTTTAATTTGATATATGTAAATAATTTTTGTAATTTTTAATTATTTATTCACTTCTTAAATATTATACTATATATTTTATTGTATGCAAAATTTAATCTAATGTTTTTAATAATATTTTTTATTATATTTAATTTCATTATCATCATTGCTTTTACATCCAAATATATATTTTAATATCACCGTTATAATATTTAATCTCATTATTATAATAATTAATCTCCTTTAATCTTATGAAAATTAATATTATAGTCCATCTAAATGAACCCCTCAAAAGCCAAGAAGAAAAACTAAAAAGAGATGAAAGGGTTGAAAAAGGAGAAAACAATATGTGAGGAATTTTTCTATTTTAAAAACATTTGACGTTATTGCATAATTTTTTTAATTTTTTAATTGATAAAATATATAAAAATAAAAATATTTTAGTGAAAAATATTTTTTTACATATATATATATATATATATATATATATATATATATATAGACACACACTAGAAGCTTCTTTATACTTGAGTTTAATCCACACCTAAATAATTTGTTTTTAATTATGAAGATTTAAAAAATAAAAAATAAAATCAGAAGACAACCAATAAATAAAAAAACAAATAACACAAAATGGAAATATTTTTATGAATAATCTTTTGAACAGTACAAGTTATCTTACTTTCTATAGTAGTTATATTTCTACGAACAATCTTATGAACGGTTAAGTGATCTTACTTTCTATAGTAGTTGTAGGTAGTAATGAATGCTCGTTTGAGACACCCTTTTGGTGGCTCTACTTGTGCGCCAATGAGGGATTTTCACCTTGAAAACTCAAACAACATTGGAATTTCCTCAATACACTACAGTAGACCAAGTTCTTTAGTGACTAGTGATGATTTTTCAAATGATTGCAACAAATAAATTTTATTTAAATATATTTATATTAAAATTAATATCATATCATAACAAATAAATAAATTCATGAAATTTTTTATTCAAATTCATTAGGATTGAGTTCTGATATGATTAGCTTATAGAAGCATACTAAATAAACTCGAATAAGTCTGAGCAGCTCCCAACTTGCCGTCACAATTTTGCACGTTGGTCAAATCTTCAAATAATTGCTATAATGATAAGTTTAATACTTGGGATAAATTTGTGTTAAGCTCTTACAGAATTTACTTAATTTGATAATAACACAATGTAGTTTATTATCAAATTAATAATTTTGCTGTTCATTTAAATACCAAATCGATAAATAATTAGCACATCAACTCTAATAATTAACCATTTCATTGCCACATCATTTTTTTTTAATTACCATATTGCTAGTGTTGAGCTGTCCAACAATAACAATAATCTAAAATTACAAGTCTAGAAATCAGAAGTAAATGTCAAAAGTTTTTTTTTGACGTTTGTACTCTAAATTCGAAAAGAGCGAGAATGAGAAAAATCTTAAAGAGGAAAGTGAAGGGAATTGAATGCCTCTACCTGGTATGAGGATAGCTATTTATGCTTGTAGTATGAGAATGCTGGACTTGAATGACCAAAACTTTGAATAATGGATTTAGAGTAGACGTTATTGTTCCGACTTAATCTAGCAGGCCATAGTCCAATTAAAGGGTGACGAATTCGCGTTCCCATATGCCTTCAAGGCTCATTTCTAATATAAGCATTAGCCAATATCTGCATGAAAACAAGAGAGCATCCAATAAAATACCATAAAAAGAGGTTTATCACCATATTCATACATGAAAACTCACATTAATGCACTCACTCATGAGATGAAAAAGACCAGCAGCACCGAGAATGCTCATATAAGAGTTAAAAGACTGATGAATATAAATTCACTATCCTCATGCAACAACAACAGAGGAGAGGACATTAGTAATTACCTTATTAAGATTGTTACGAAAAGTCTGCAAAAGAGTAGGGAATATCGTTAGATGATATCCTTAATATAAGTAGTGAATTATGAATTCGAAGCTAAATCAATAACATTTTCCATACCACAAAATGAACGCTTTGAAGAGGGATATTTTTGTCTCTTATGCAAGCAAGGTCACCAAAACCCCAGAGCCTAGTTCTGGTTCCAAGAAAAAACTACAGAGTTGGCTGCATTCGTTAGACCTCATATACAAATTCCATAAATAAAGCATATGCATAAACATAACAGATACACTGCAACACAATACAATCTCAACATTATTATATTTCAAATTTTCCAAAAATAAAGCATACCTTTTTTTCTTGATAAAAGTATCAAAACCTTGATTGAGATCAGCTCCAATATCTTCAGTAATAAGACACTTAAAAGCCCCTGATAATGTGAATAAAAGAAATATATGCAAAATGAGCTAATGATGAGGAGGACAAAAGAAATCCTGTATAAGCAAACCTACTGAACAAACAACTATATAAAACTCCGTAAAACTTACCAAGCTGCGATCATCAAAGTAAACCTCTCCACCTCTCCACCTTCCACACAGCTATAGGCTATATTAAGCAAGTTCGCATGGCTATTAAATTTAATTAGCACATTTAGCAAAAAAGACCACAAAAGCAAGTACAGATGGACTAAAGTGATACTTCACATTACTCCGGTATATCAACCTCGAAATATTTGATGAATCATAAAAAGAAGGAAAAATAATTTACTCGCTTCCTGAAAAGCAATATATTTTCTAGATAATGTCTCTTCACTTTTTGAAAGCTTTAAATCAGAAACAATACGTTCATCTCGATGTTCATTAGCAAATTTGGAGCCAAAACCTTGCCTTGGAGGATAACCAGGACGGCCAAGGATGCCTGCACCTCTATCATTCTGCCAGCGACCATGTCCAAAACCCCCTCTACCTGGGTTATTAGTATTACGAATAACCGGCAACACTGCAAAAGAAACAGTGAGAAAGAAAATTAGTTACCATTAAACCAGGGAGCAAATATTCAACCAAAGATAAATTCAATTATTTCGTGTATATATTCCAAGAATTGCAGACCTCACAAAAGAGCTAAATATTCCTGTATTATTATTGTTAGAATTTTTCCCACATTTTCTCAGATAAAACAATCCAATAACTCACAGTTTATTCCTACGATCTTATAATTCTAAAACTTTCAGTAAATAGATGATAAAGAGTTCATAACATCTCCTCTTTCTAGTATGTTAAATTTCGATGTTAATAGTCAGCTGCCCATATGCTTACACATTTAAATTACTCCCTAAAACTTAAATCCAAGAATCAACCAAAAGAATCACCAATAATACAAGGAAGGGAAGCCCCCAAATCAACACACAATCAAAGCAGGAAAAATTAAGCTTACAAAGGTTTCTATTTTCATATACAGTAGCAAAATTCCCCTAAACAACGAAAGAGTACACTTCAAAATCCCCAATTATGGGAACCAAAAACATATATTCCAATCAAGAAAGAATGAATAAATAAATTATTACCAGGAATAGAGAAAGGGCTAGTGGCAGGGGTTTTACAGTAATCTTCATTATCAGACTCAAAAAGATCTCTTTCTTCCTCTTCTTCTTCATACCCAAAAATACCCTTTTCAATGTTTTCTTTATAATCGTAGATCAATGGTATTAACATTGCCTAATTCTTCTCCATTTTCTTCTTCTCCTCCGCTGCATGCGCTTCCACAGGAACTGCTGGTATCGCCGCCTGCCGGTGGATGAGGAAGAAGCCGACGATGACGATGAAGCAAAGGATGATGATGAAGATGAATGAGAGGAAGAGGATTCAAGGGAATCATCATGATTGTTGTTGCTGTTGTTGTTATAGTCTTCTCCAAAGACATCTATTTCTTGTTCTGAGAAATCCATGTCGGATATTCTGTTTTAGTTTTGTTTTTGCTCTCTCTCTCTCTCTCTCTAAATAAAGAAAAGAGCAAAGCGAATTTCTGGGTTTGAGGTTTTGCTTTAGCAGTTCTTTTTTGTGTCGACGATTGGGATTCGGGGGCATTGAGGAAAGTGACTCGCTGAAAACAATATGAGTTGACTCAGTTTATTACAGTAAACGAAATTTTCCTTTGGCTTGTTACTGGCACATTGGACAGTAATGGCCCAGAATCAGAATTTCGAGCTCTGGCATGCATATCCCATTTATTTAAAAATGGTTTAATTTCTGCTCTGGACTGGCCATTTAATAGATTGCTTTTATGTCTACTAAAACTACTTCCTTTGGCTTTTTACCTTCATTGAGAGTGCAGATAATTGGAGTTTTTCTTATCCAATTTTCAGAATTTTTTTTTTTAGATATTACCATTCATGTATTTATATTATACAAAATGTTAATAATTTATGTATTTATATTATATTTATATAAATATTATATATTATAATTTATGTCAATAGTAAAATACAAAAAATATATATTTTATTAAACTCGTAATTTTTAATAAAATTTTTAACCGTTACACTATTTTTTTTTTTCATTTGTATTGCTTTTAAAATCCTTATGTCTATTTTTATTTTTCCCTTTCATAAGGAGGGAATCAACTTTAGCAAATTATGAAATTATAAACAAAAAAAAAAAGTTACGTTAACACCATCGTTAAAAAAAAAACTACAAAAATATTATTCAACAATTATAATATTACAAAAAGAAAGATCAACGAGGAATACAATGAGATACTAGACCCTAAGTACCAAATCTAAGCTTACATGCATAGATATTACTAAATCTTAAAGCTGCTGTGGACAGCTCCTACTTAATTTTGACGTATATTACTAAAGCTTAAAGCTACTATGGATGGCCCTTTCTTAATAGATACGAGTTTCATTGAACTCCAATATTATGGAGTTCAACTTGATGAAGTTGATTTGGGTTTTCTTGACGGCGGATGATGATGATGAAATAAAAGGGAATGGATTGCAGAGTTTGTGCTAACCAGTGGAGAGAGCTTGCAAAGAGATCAAGGACTTTACCGTGCAAAGGATATGTAAGAATGATGAACAAAAAGAAAAACCAGAAATGGGATGGTGGCAAGAGCAAGGAAGCTGCAAGTGATAGAAGCAAGGCAATCGAGAAACCTTGACGAGTGCGAGAGAGTAATGGCCCTTGGATTGTAATGGGGAGTTCAAGAGAAACATAGAAGAAGAATAACAGTAAAAACAGGGCCAAAAGTGAGAGTACCAACTTTAAAACGAGGTATGGTGAATCAATGACTAGAAGAGCAGCAGCAGTTGCGATTGGGTTCCAAGGCTTGTCTTGACTAAGCCGGAGAAGAAAAAAGAAGAGATTCATAAGAGGAGGAAGGACATATCGTAAATCGACGAGGAAAACCATCTTTGATCGAATCTGATATGAACTCTCTCGGTTGTTCAAGGATTTGAAGTGAAAACTAAAAAGCTCCAAATTATAGTCTAATTTTCCATCATGGAAGACTAAATTTGCCTTGGGGTGTTTCCACTGTTTCCACTGTTTTCACTTTGATGATACTTTGGTTTCAAAAGAGACTTAGGAAACTTCATTACTCCCCCTTTTTAAAACCGTTTTAAACTAGAAGAAAAAGAAAAAAAATTCATTCCTTTGTTTTATGATATCTAGTTATGATTTCGACAACAATTTAAATACGCAACTAACCGATATTCTGTCTGGCACTCCAGATAAGTTTGGGCCTTTGCCCATTTAATAGGAATTCTAAGCTCCAGATGCTGTAAAGAAGATCAAATAATGAGACCCTTCAAATTTAAGATTAATATTCGTGGGAGGGCCATTATGCTTGTATCTTCTAGATTTTCTATTCAAAGTTGGAGACTAGAGTGAGAATCACTATTGTCTTTTAAAAAAATTACATGAATGGATATTTATTATATGTTTTTGAAAATTTATGTTTGAAGATTATTTTAAGAAAAAGATAAAATATAAAACGAAATACTTGTTAAAAAATCATGCAAGAATTGATAATTATTTAAGAGCAAAAATTACGTAAGAATATGTATAAAGTTATGTTATTACACATTCACTGTAAAAGTGAAGATAAAAAATTAACAAATCCAGATATACAATTAATAATAAAAACAATTATAAACATCTTATTTTACTCAAATTATTTTAACATTAATGAGCTTCCAATTCCCCACCCCCCCAACTCGTTTTATGAAAGCTAAGTCGACGTTTGGGCCAAAGATGGTTAATTAAGGAAGTCAGAAAGACCAATATGGGCTGTCTTTGTTAAACTGAAACTACACGTGGAAGAAGATAAACACAAAGTTGATTCCTTTATTTTATCTAGCTATGATGTCAAAAACGACTTGAATGTGCAACTAACCGACGACGGCCTGACACTCAAGACTTGTTTAGGCCTTTACCTATTTACTTGGGATTCTAAGCCCGAGGTCATTTAAAGAAGATCTCATTATTGGATTCTTATTCGACCCTTTGTGGGCTTTTAGCTTGACTTCTGACTTGTGTGTAAGAGAAAAGAAAGATTTTAGAAACCAACAAATGAAAAATTTATCTTAAAACGAAAAAAAAAAAAAAATTGAGATAGACGGCAGATTGAATATACTCTTCTCAATAATCACTTACATATACTGATGATATACAACATGTTTTACTTATTACTTCTGTCACTAAATTAAATGAGTTGGAGTTACCATATTTTGCAGAATCTGACAGCACGTACTTCTGTCACATTAATTCTCCAAGCAAAGTGCTTCCTTCTCTTCAATAACTGTCACATAATCCAGTTCCGAGCTTTGCTGGCTCTGTCTTCGATTTCAACTTTTCCAACTTCACTTGAAAGATATGCTTAGTTTGGGTTTGCTTGATTTTGGGCTATCGTGATGAAAATTGTGGGAACAGTTTATTGTAGAGTGTGAGAAACCAAATGGGAAAGTGTTTAAATAGTTCAAGAAGCTCGCCGTGCCATGGCGATGTATAGCTAAGGAAGCCAAAAGTGTGTTGGTTTAAGAAGAACCGAGAATAAATGGAATATAGTTAAGGGAGCAGAGAAAATTCCAGGGTCAAAGCAAGTCGGACCAACAGTGATGGGCAGTTTAATAGGGGTGAAAATGAAAAACAATGGCAAAGAAAAACAGTAAGAAAACTAAAAAAAGTAAAAGGAATAATGAGTACTAGTAATTCTTCTTCTTTCCTTGTTTAACAAATCAGACACATTCAACTTTGCGTCTTCTGACTTCTTAGTTCAAACTTCAAACCCTAAACCTAAACGAAAATGCAAAGGAAGAATAACAGGAAAACGAAGACAACAATAAACAAATTTTTTCTCAAAGAGGATTACCATCCCCGAGATCAAGCACCATCCTTGGTTTCTGAAAAATTTTTCAAAAGAAATGATTGAAATTGAAAAATCGAACTATGCAGAATCAGAACGTGACCAACCATCTTAAAGCATTGAAGAGATAATGCGTATCATACCAGAGGCTAAGACACCAGCTGAAGGAGCCGAAGTTGGTGAACAATCTGTTGCTGCTTCATCAAACCCAGCTGATGCTAAAGCAGATTTAGAATCTTAAATTCATGTTTGTGGTGACTTTGATGTCCCTATGTGAACACGGCCATTCTAACTGCTTCGAGAAGATTTGTTTATCTAAGCTTGTAGTGTTTTTGGGTTACAGCTTTGATATGCTTTTATCACACCGGAAATGCTGTACTGCAGATTTACACTAGAGTGTGTTGCCTTACAGGCAGCAATGAACTTTTGTGTGTATAATATGGTCAATTGTGTGTCATATATATTGTAGATTTCACACTTTGTGAAACATCTTGCATAACTGATTTCAAATCTTAAATTATATATGTTGTGCTACTTTGAATACTAACAATTTTGCAGTTTATATTTTGTAATCAGGATGCAATTTTCCACTTTTTGCTGAATGGTTGACTCCTGTGTTATTCCCATGTTTTCCTGTGGATAGCAACTTGTGCAAGTCACTTTGAATGCCCCTTATTATTTTAAAAAAGTATACCCAACTCCGTAGTCTATCCCTCGATCCCAGTTTTAGTAAAGTTGATCCACCTTCACCATACCAATTTTATCGACCAAACTTCTAAAGGGGCCGTCTTGACGGTCTTGGACATGTCCTCATTTTAGGTGAAAATGGTCCATAACCATGACTCTACAAGGTGAGTGCCTACTGCCTACTGCCTTTTGGTATTAAAAGGCATACAATTCTCTCCACAAACAGCAATATTTTCTAGAAAATAGTGAGGTAGATATCGCGCAATTTACATAGAAGCCAATCATAAACATTGAGGTTCATGTTTGAGTATCGTATATGTCAGAAAAGTTGCAAACAAAGTAAGAAATTTTATGTCTAGAGGATGATGCTCATGTTTTAGTAGCTTACCCCAATCCTTAATATATCAAGAGTTTGGTTGCAGATGGTCCTCAGAGATGCAAAATTTGGTAGCATTTAGATATATTTATGATATGTTGGCAGCCAGTAAGAATAATTAACATCCATGAGTCAAGCATATGCCTTGCCTATCAATTGCTAGTGTTGCGCTCTTGGTTCATTCTGCAGTCTTTAGTCCTTAATTTCCGGAAGTGGGATCCAGTAATTTCGAACTGTTTTTCTCTTTAGTCCTTAATTACTTTCTGGTGCAGCCAACTGCATCCACACCTAGCATGCAGAAATTTAAAAATTCTAATATATTATATATTTTTGAAAATTTATGTTTGAAGATTATTTCAAGAATAAGATAAATCTAAAATTAAAGACTCGTCAAAAAATCATACAAGAATTGATAATTAATTAAGAGAAAAAATTAAATAAGAATATATAAAAAAAATAATGTTATTACACTTTCACTACAAAAGTGAAGACCGAAACTTGCATTTTCTTTACAAAAATTACATATCTTTCCAAGGAATTAAGAAATTATGCTTTGCTAGGAATTTAAATTGATGTGTATGTGCTAATAATCAAGGTTCCCAATCGATGATTTAGATTACTCTTAATAATTCTCATATGTCAATTCAACTCGTTTTAAGCCACCTTTTTTTAACAACACCTTGTCTTATAAAACTCTCTCTCTCTCTATATATATAATCATGATTCTCAAATTACTATATATGCAAATTGATTAAATGATGGATAATATCAAAATTAGTGAAATCAATTCCATAGTATAATCTATATGAAAATGAAAATTATATTCTTTAAATAAATTAATTTAAACAAAACTAAATGTAATAAAAATTTCATTTTGCATATTTTCTTGAAATTTTGTTTACTTTTATTTTTAATTTTTTAATGAATGCATGAATATTTCTTAATTTTCAAAAAAAAATTTCAGATTTCAAGAATATATATTATATATATGCGTATACATACATATATATTGTTGTATATATATATATATTTAAGTAGTCTTAAAAAATTAAAAATTAATCATCCAAAATATGAGTCAATAAAATCTAATATATATTAATAATCAAATATAAAAATTTGATAATTAATGGCAGTTTCATTAAAGAAAACCAACACAATTATGAATGTTAGTCTTAGAATCACAATAAGAAATAAAAATATAAAATCCTCAATCTCCAATTTGAAAAGGAGTAGGCTAAAGTATGCCTAAGAAGTCAAAAGAAAGCCCAAAACGAATTCAGCAAGAAAAGGAAAAGAAAAAAAAAAAGCCCAAAAAGTAATTTACCAAAGCTAGCTGTCAGTACCTTTTATAGGAGAAAAAATAGGAACAGTGGAAGGGCTGGTTTGGGTTGTTGAGTGTGAGTTCACGTACAGTTCAAGCTCCCCAGGCTATATATATGTCATGTTGGCTAGCAGGCAACCATGAACAAAGAGAAGGGAAGGGAAAAAAAAAATAAAGAGAGAAAATATGGAGGCAAAGTCATTGTTTTTGATGGCGTTAGTGGTGGTAGCAGTTGCAAGCATGTGGGAGGTTAAGATGGCTGGTGCGGAACTCAGTGCTGCTCAGTGTAAGAAGGAAAGGAGTCTTGGGGTTAATGCTTGCAAGCAGGTTGTCTATGGTAAGCTTCCAACCCCAGAGTGTTGCCAGCGGGTAAGGGTTACCCATTTTGAATGTGTGTGCTCTGTTATCACGCCCAAGCTCGCTGCCCTTATCGATCTCAACCGCGCCATCCGCCTCATTGAAGGCTGTGGTAGAAGGGCCCCTCGCCACTACAAATGTGGAGGTAAGCTCATCAACTTCCTTCTTTACATACATACATACATATATATATATATATATATCATCTTCTGCATATGCACGAGCACCGCACACACATATATCCTTTGACAGTTGATAAAAGCAATATTTCTTAATTTCCTCATTTTTATTTCTTGATTTTTCCCCTTCGGCAGCTCTCACAATTCCATGAAATTGGCCCTGCTTAGTTGGCTATTGTCATCTGTCTACTGTTATGCCTGGAGGAGTCGGCTTTTCTAAAAGTGAAATAATTATATAATAATGGATTTGAGCAATGTATAACTATTTTCATATTGGCTTGACATATGTAAGAAATGATATGAGAAATAAAAAAAAATAATTGTGTTAATTGAATTGTTTTCTTTGCCGTTAATTTTATAAAATGAGAAAAATGAACATCAAGCTGGTCATATTTTCTCTCTCATATCTCTCACCATCAGCCCTCGAAAGCTGGACTTTTGGCTTGAGAACTCTGGCCAATAATTCTCATCAATTCAAATCAGCAACAAAGTTAACATATTGATTGATTTTGTATAAGGGCAATGAAAAATACCTATTCTCACCAAAACAAACCAAGCCATCATCGATACAGTTATATTATTCAATCACTATTACGATAATTAATTAATTTAACTGCTATCATTATTTTCAATCCCATCATATATTTAAGTGAATCTTTAATTATTTTAGAAAAAATAAACCAAAAAAATTTAATACCGTGAGAAATTGGTCATCAATTAAGGGACATTCTTAATTTCATACTGTCTTACACTTGGTAAAGAAAATTTTTCTCGCAACATTGTTATAAATGATCAATCATTGCCATTTAATTTTGATATTTAAATATAAATCTGACAATCTAAAGCACTATTTGGTGATATGATATAAAAATGATAGAAAAAAAAAATGAAGATGATATAGTTTAAAATTTTAACAAAAAAAAAATAAATTTAATAAAATAAAAAAATATATTTTATATTTTCGTGTTAATATGAATTGTGACACATAATTTTTATATAAAATATAACAAAAATATATAAATTATCAAATATATTTAAATGTTTATCGATGAGCTTCTTATTTGAGTGAGCAATATATACTTGAATGATTAACAAATCAGAAAGATTAGCCAAACTAGGAGCATAATAAGTCATGACTTGTTCATTACTTCTTAAAATCCTGTTCGAGGTTACATCACGAAGACCCAACTAAGTCTAAGGGAAACAAAATCCACTTTTTCCTTTTTTTGGTTTACTAATAATAAAGGTACTTTAATTGGAAGTCGACTTGCTCGTCTCAAGCTGGGAAACTCTTTCACCAAAATTTTCATAGGTCATACTTTCATATATATCAATAATAAATTTACATATATCTTGACATGAGACAACATCCGTTAAGTATTTAACTTAAAATCAATTGATAATAAATAAAAAAATTTAATTTTAATAAAAAATTAGATATAAAATAATACCACTTTAACATACTCTTATCATGAGTAGGTAAAAATAAAAATAATTTATTATATAACAAATTTAAAAAAGATAATAAGAACGAAATATTGAATATAATATCATGTTAAGTATTTAATCTAAATTTAATTGACATTAAGTGAAAGGGTCAATTTTAATATAAGATTATAAAAAAATGATATATTTAGTATATGTGAAATAACACTATTTTAACAAAATATATCTGAATTTTGAGAAAGATTTTCAAAATCTTGAAAATTGAAAACTAAATCAGTTTGAATTACTAAAAAAATTGGAAGAAATTTATATATTTACAATTACTTTGGGGTACACGGAAGAAAGTACAACAATGATATACCTTTTTTTTTCTCATTTCTTTCGTTCATATTGTTTTCTTTCCACATCCTTTTTTTTCCCTTTTGATTTGTGTCCTATTCTCTTTTTTCTTTTTCTTTTTTTTTCTATCGTTTCATCGCCAAAATCAATTGCCATGATTTTGTTTTCGTACTTTCTTTCTACCTTCCTATGTCCGATAAAAATCTATTGGAATAAAAAATTGTCGTGCATATATGTTACTTTTTTACCTTGTGAAAAAGATATTTCAATACAATTGTTTGATGATTTTGATTTTTTTCGATCTCTGAAGTTTCATTTGGTTTATCGACGGGAGTCTCTTTCACCATTGTTCAAATAAAGTATAAATCTTATAAAATAATTTGATTTTGGAGTCAATTTGTTAAATTGTCCAATCAAAAGAGAAAATGGAATTATGAAAAAAAAAATAGAGAAAATAAGTGACATAATTAATTGTGGCATTTTTTATTGTCAAAAATTCAAAATCATCTTATTAGTCTCTCTATTACCAAAAAAGGACAAAGAAAATTAGTCTACGAAGGGAAAAAAGGGTGAAGTCCTCATCAATAAACAAATGTTAAATTTTCACGAAAAGTGTTTTAGAAATTTTATAAAATAATTCTTTATTTTAGTAGAGCTACATTTTCATTTTACAAAGATTTTGATCAAAGCCTCTCAAAATGTTTAAACCATTTATGCACCACTTTTTTTTTCATGGATTATTATTCAAATTAAAAAGAAAGGAAAATTACACAAACTAGAAGAAAATTCAAACTTTCTTTTTTTCCTTTTTTTTCCCGATTGTATGATAGGTTGGGAGGATGGCAGGGCAATTTGCAAAGCCAAGGTCAGACCCATTTGAGATAAAAGATGAAGTTACCTAGTTTTCAAGGAGATAACATAAATGGTGATGCTTTTGATGAGAAATCTAGAGTAACTGACCCTCAACGGTTGATTAGAGCGTATCTTCAATCTGTTAGTACATTGAGCCTTTGCTACTGGTGGTTATGCTGCTGTGGAAAGGGTCTCGCAGTGGAATCTCTATTTGGTTAGACTTAGTGAACAAGGAGACAGATTAATTCTTAAACTCTTGAGTTTCATATTTAGGCCCGTTTGGAATTGCGATTGCAGCTGCATAGATTTACAATAATAGCTGAATCTGTTTACAAAATAAGATTTCCACCTAATGTTGGGATAGGTCATAAGGCCTTAGGTTTGTTTCTTGTTGTTTAGTTTAGAATCTGACTTCGATTTATAATTAGGTACATGGAGCTTGAATGAAGCTCTGGGATTCATTGTTGAAGCTGGGTTAACTATTGATGACCTGCTGGTGAACACAGTTGACTTTTGGACATCCATGAATGCCTCCGTGTACCTGGGTGAGTGATCCCATGCATGGAAACATAATTAAACTCGTTCATTTGACGCAATCAGGGGTCTTGAACAGTTGAACTAATATTTTTTAGCTACTTTTTTGGACCATAATGAAGCGTAAATGAGTTTTTTTTTTTTTTTTTGTCTCTTTTGCATTGTTCTCAGGATGAGTTGAGGGCATTCTTCGATGTTCATGAACAAGAAGGGATTTATCCTGGAGGAATTCATCTGGAAATCACAGGGCAGAAGGTAACAGTGTGAATCGGAGGGTCAAAGACTGACTTTTGAACTCCCGGTATCACACACATTGTGATCCTATGTTAAATGCATCAGTCATTAGAGCTAGCCTTTGCCATATCAGAGATGTTGAGGAAGATAAGGCTCAAGTCTGCTAAGGAATTTCTGAGTGGGAACATAGTTAATTATCAGTTCTATGGCAAAAGCCAGTCAACAGCCCAAGCTTGATTCCATTAAGAATAGTTATTTAGTTAATTTTTTTTTTTTTTCATCGGCTTGTGTCTGCAAAGGAGAGAGCTTTTTGTACCAGTATAAATAACTCGCCTTCCCAAAAGGAGCTGAACTAATTTCCTCCTCCTCGGATACTGATCAATTAGTTTGTGTTTGTGAGATAAGAGAGTGGATTTTTATATACAAAATTGGCGATCTCTGTTTCTCATTTTAAATTGGATGAAAGCTTGGTTACCATTCAAACCAAAGTAATTAAATAGTATTTTAGCTGTGGCAAAGGATGTTGGGGTGCCAAACTTGAATGCTTGATACTTGTGCATGTCAACGTGTACTTAATCGTTACATTTTAGGTATCATTACCGAAAATTTGCTGTGAGCTATCCGCCTTTTGACCGTAGTGTTGGCTTTTACAGCTATCAGATAAAATCTTCTCTTAACCAGACAAAAGTGTACTGTACTCATATTAAAAATTATATATTCATATTATATTTCATATAAAATTTAAATATTATAATTTATGTTAATATAAAAATATATAATTTATTTTATTTTATTAAAATATATAATTATTAATAATATTTTAAATCATATTATTTTTATTTTTGTCGTATTATATTTATATAATGTAATTATATTATATTTTAAATTATCATACTTAAAACACGTGTTTTAGATTGTTGTATTTCAAGCCCCGAGTTAGAAATTCTTAACAGCGGGGCATTGGGACAGAATTGGCAAATTCGACAAGGTAAGCCATACTAATACAGACTTTGGAGGATGCAAGTCGACTAGAAGAATGGGAAAATGAGTGAGTTGGTATCGTTATAAGCACGACATGCTCAATGTAGCTTCAAAGTTTATTAGATAAGAATGGAGTTCATTGTCGAAATTCAAATCATTTTTATATATAAAGATTCAGAAACTTGAAGCAGTGGAGGATCCGTGGCGCAATGGTAGCGCGTCTGACTCCAGATCAGAAGGTTGCGTGTTCGATTCACGTCGGGTTCAAAGCCCCTGTCCCCAACGGATTCTAACCTTATTGCCTGTTCCTTTTCTTTCCCTTTTCACTTTCAGGTTTCAGCATAATCTTATTTAATTCAAAGATGTTAGAAATATATTCTGAAACCGCTGAATGCAGAACACTTCGAAAACAATATTGAACCAGTTTCAACTTGGTCTTATTCAGGGTTCTAAGCCAGTGAAATCTAAGGAGCTGCCTCGTTATGGTGTTGGCCTTTAGGGCTTAATGCTTGTTGGGGAACAAGAACATTTAAGATATCTGGATCTCCTGCACTAGCCAATAGTTAAAATGGTATTTGTCCCCCGGCAGTCTAGAGTGAGTGTTCGTGCATCATTTCTTGTATTAGGTTAATTTGAGATGTCAAAAAGTTCATTTTCGTGTCCTGAAATCGAATGAATTTGGAGTTTTGAGTTTCGACTTGTAACATTTAGATTAGGCTGTTACTTGATTTATTTCATATTCCAAAAATGATCATGGGCGAATAGAATTCCCAAATTACTTAATTGAAATTTCAAGCTTTGATATATATATAAGCTGGAAACATCATCAAGAAACTAGAAGCTTAAAGCATTAGTCAAGTTCTCAAAGTTTACAGCTTCTCACAGTTATAAACAAGAAAACCATTATACACCCAATTACAGATACAAGTTTGATTTTAAGAAATCATCTTTGCCAGTCGGAAAACAAACAAAAATGGATTGTCTTCAACAATATTAGGCCTTCGAGCTCGAGTAGATGACAACCGATCAAACACAAGAAGGAACAATGGAGCAAATATGTATAGAATGGCAGGGGCAGCACATCCGATCACACAAACCACTATACCTAGCCATAGAGTCTTGGCCAATACAACAAACAAGCCCGTTACAAATGCTAGTGCCATTGCTACAAGTGAAATCCATGTCAAGCCAATGGCGAAAGGGAGTGTGTCCATAAACGATTCGCTATTACGACGAGAAGATGACCAGAAAACCATAACTGCAGCTGTCATAGATGAAGTCATTGCAATAGTATCAGTGATGACAAATGCCTTGAAAGCTGATTTTCTAATCAATGTTGCCATACCCTCATCTGGACCATTGTTTATAAAACCTCCTGGAATGGTAAAGGCAGCAGTGAATGTGAATGTAGCTATTAGTGTTGCCATCACTGAGATTATTTGAGCCATCTCTCTACTTTTTTTACCGCCTCTTTCTGCAACTTTTCCTACTTCAACATAACTGAATTCTTCATTATCGACAACATCGTTGGGATTAATAGCTCGCTTTGCATAAGATCTCTTTAGTGCTTTCAATGTCAAGTGCTGCAATACAAGGAATATAATTAGTATATAAAACATTTAGATTACTTTTTCCCTTTGGTATCTGGCTTCTGGCATTCTCTTAATGAACCAACAAAAGAATATGATTACCATTTTTGTTTACCTTTTGCAGTTCCATTCCACGATCATCAGACGATTGCACAACAGCTAGAGCAGTCTCATTTGATTTGTTGATTGCCCTAATATCCACCTTTGCATTTCTTGTTAGAATGTATACAATGCTGCTGTGGAAATTCTTTGCTGCAAGATGCAATGGAGTATTTCCGTACATATCAGCTGCATTAACCAAGTCTTCCATTTCAGGCAACTTCAATATAAATGAGACAGCATCAATATTTCCATTTTTGGCCGCAAAATGGAGGATATTTTGTTGCTCATTATCCAATAACTCAATGGTGTCCGGGCACGGATCAAGCAATATTTTTAACCGGTTCACTTGACCATTCTCTGCGGCCAAATGGAGAGGTATTTGTTGATTGTCGTCGCCTTGATATGCAGCCGAAGTATCCCATTCTAGCAATAACTTGACTATTTCATATTCACCCAAGGCTGCAGCATAGTGAAGGGGAGTCCTCTGCTTGTCATCTTGCATCTTTACGAGTTTTGGGTTTCTGATGTGCATTTTTTTCATGATATCTGTTTTTCATAGCATAAAAATTAAAGATGGAAAATAGTGTCAACCACTTTCATTCATGTGAAAAAGCCTTAAATGCCAGTTATAAGAAGATGAAAATAAAAACAAGTAAAAAACATACTATACAGTAATCAAGACTGTTAAGAAAAATTAGAAGTGTTCTAATGTGGGAATCATATCCTTACGTAAATCACGCCTTATGACAGCACAATGCAAAGGGGTTTGGCCATTGGGTCCTCTATACTCAAGAGTTGATCGATTTAAACCGATGATTGCCTCAGCAGTCACTGCTAACTTCAGATCAATAGCGATAGACAGTGGAGATTCCCCAGCATTATTAACCAACACCAATGATTCTCGGTCTTTGTCTGCCAATCTCCACACCACCAAATAATGATCATTTCTCACAGCACAATGTAAGGGTGTGTTACCATAATTATCTCTGATTCTTGCAATGTAAACTCCGTTTGAGCCTTGCACAGAATCTCTGTGTACAGAATCTCTGAATAATAGAACAATTCGCCAATGTCCACCCCTGGCTGCAACATGAACTGGGGTCTCACCTTTAAGGTTACTCTTGAGGAGAAGGTCAGGTTGCCTCTTCATTATCTCTTGTACCAAATTCTCGTGCCCGAATCTTGCAACCATGTGAAGAGCAGTGTTTCCTTGAGGCGTTGTTCCACCAAGGATATTGCGTTCAGCATCAGCAAGTTGCTTGATTACATTAATATCACCTGATCTTGCAGCCTTGAGCAATCTTTGATCCATAGGGCTCTTTGATTCTGCAAAAAAAGAGATTTTTTTTTTTGTGTTCTTGTCTATGCAGACCACAGGCAAGGGAAACACTATAATAGGGGAGAGTTTTGTGATATTTCTGCAAAGAATCTGATCAAATATTTAAACTCCAAATGTGTTGCGCAAAGAGAGTGCCCAATGGCAGTCTGGAAGTAGAAAGGCTGCATAGAAAATGACAGTTGACTAACCAGTGGCCTCACAAACAAAGTCAAGGAAGAGAAATGCTCTCACTTCAATTAAAATGCTTATTTTTCCGGGCCCTTTTCCAACTGGCTGTCACCAACTCGTCATTCACCAATCAATCCAGGTTCTTTACGTATTCTAATCCTTCTATGTATCGAACTTGCTTGTTAGATCAGGAGTGCAAGATTAAGAGATAATTCCAAATAGCTCAGGGGAAGTACTGTCACCTTCAAGAGGCAAAATTCCAGGTATATTATGCCAAATAACTTACTTTTCTTTATTCTGATCCTCTATACGTATACTTGTACTAAATTAGTCTTCGTCTTCTTAATCTGTGCAAAAGATGATGCAGTTGAATAAAATACTACTGAAAATGCTGCAAAAGATAAGGTTAATTACCGGGAAGTTGTCTCATCAGCTATTTCTTTTTTTATTTTTCCACAACGTTTTGCTTTACCAACTCATTAAATTAGACCGATCAGTTATCTTTTACAACAGTGATTGAATTATTGATACATATAAAAATGAATAAAAACAAAAAACAAACTGGAAAGCAAATTCATGACTGTGATTCCAATAAGCATGGAACACGTTTCCGTCCGCTTCCTCGGATCTCCTGCTTTCCTGTGAAAGTAGGTCCGTTAGTACAAACCACACATAATTAAAATTATCTCATAATATTTAGTTAATATTTATTTTCATCTAGTTGATAATCGCTTTAATACCTTATGCATTTAACTCCTATCCGACAGTCATTTTATTTGACTGATGACCGTCTAATATTATAAAGATTTAATTTTCATTTAATTGCTAACCACTCTAATATTATTATCACGATCATATCATAAAATTTAGTTCTCATTTTATTAATAATTGCTCTAATATTATTTGTAATAATTTATATTTAATTTATGAGATATTATTTATTTTAATTTAAAAATTTTATAATCTTATCTTATAAAAAATACTTCATAAATATAAATTTAAAATTTTACTTATATCATAACATATAGCAGAGTTTTAATGAAATTTAAACTTCAAATCTCATGATTTTTAGATCTCTTTCTTATTATTAAGCTAAAGCTTCATCATTGGTAGGCCAGAATATAATGTATGGAAAAACACTTTAAAACAAAAAAAATTAAATTATTCAACATGAACAATAATTTTATTCGTAACTTCAACAAAACTTTCAAAATCAAAAGCAAATATATAATTCTTGCAATGCTAAATTACATAATAAAATCATAATGCGAAGATGTACATAATTGTTTATCAAGATAATTTTTATAATAAAAAAAATATATTCTTTTATTTTTAATTTGATTTAACAAAATAAAAAAAGTAACATTCATAACATACTAAATATACTTAATATGAAATGATTTAAGAATGTTTTTTAGAAACATAACGTTGTAATGATTTTTGGACCACCGACATAAAAAATTTTAAAAAACAAAAAAAATGAAAGAGTCATCATCAATATTTTTTAGAGTGTGATTGGCCATTGAAAAATTTATCTGTTTAATAAGACTAAAAACGAATTTAAAGTTTATTAAAAAGATTAATTTTGGTTTACGAAAAATTAAGTTAGACTCAAGAATCGATTACGTGCGAAGAAGAATTAGCACTCTCACAATGTTCATAAATTAGTACCAATTAATCATGTGCTATGATGTCGGATGGAATAGTTTTGTTTTGAAATTTAATACTAATTTTCTTCATTAAAAAATAAATTTTTTGCTAAAACTCTTTATCTAGAAATATTGAAAAAATCTTTAAATTAAATAATTATTTTAAAATTCTTCAACATCTCGGTAGAATTTAAAATAATTCATTTCATTTAAGATTTAACACAATATTCCTTAAAGTGAAATAACACTGTTTATAAAAAATAATTATTGATGACTCTCCAATATTTATGTAGAATACCAAAAACTATTTCCTTCGAAATGTTATTTTTGTTTTATTTTATAATATCATAATTTTAAAATACATATTTTCTTTTTTTTTGTAAAATATTTTATATAAGAAAGTAAATGATTGTATTATCATGTGGCAAATAAAAATTAAAGATAGAGAAATGTAAAATGAGTGCCAATAATAATATGATGATATATGTATGTTGATAGATATTATACAATGTGAAAAAATAGATTATTAAATATAACGAGACCACCTTAACTCTTCAACATCTAGGCTGAGCTTGGGTGCGACTATTTATATTTAAGATCTCATTTTATTATTATATTTTTTATTAAAGCTTATTAGTTATTAACCCTATTGCTAAAGCAAATTAAAGACTCGCATGAAAAACTTAATAGAATAAAATTTTCTAAATACCCCATTATCTAGGTAATATTCGATAATAAATTACTTCACTTGAGATTTTTACAAGTATCCTTAAAGTTTTGAAATGGTTTTGAGTATAGGTTTAATGTTTTAGGGGGTTTAAGAGTTTTAAATTTTGTGGGGTTTGACGTTTTAGGGTTTTGATTTGAGGGTTTAAGGTTTTAAATTTTTGTTTTTTAAGTTTTTGATTTTAGGGTTTGGGGTTAAGTGTTTTGATTTTAGGATTTAGAAGGTTTAAAGTTTTAGTGTTTGAGATTTAAAAGTTTTAGGGTTTTAGTATATGGGTTTAAAGGGCTTAGGGTTTAGTTTTTTTTTTTTTAAGTTTAAAAACACAAACGTCTCTAAAAATTCCTAATCTCTAGGCAGACTTTCGAAGAAAATTCAGCTTTTATAAATTTTGAAAATTAGTTGAAAATTTTCATATATTTTCTTTTTATAACAACTTATTATTAATAAAATTACAAATTTATTTAGTGTTTTTTATAATAATTTCTCAACATCTAGGCAAAATTATCATTATTTAAAAACACGATTGTATTCTCTCCAACATCCAAGCAAGAAAATTCTCCTTATTGCTAATTCATTTTATAGTTATTTGATAATTTTCTATTTAACACTTGGGTTATTATCATTAAAGAAAAATATATCAAAAATTTGAAATCATTTATTATTATTATTGTTATAAAATAACAAATATTTATTCTAACAAATTTAGAGGTATTAAACATGCATAAATAACAATAATAAAACTAAAATAATATTAAAAATTTAAAAAAAAATTTAAAAAATAAAAAATCATGAACCGAACCATTTAATGCTGGTTCGACGGTTCAAGCGGTTCATTGGTTCAATCAACGGTTTCGGTGGTTCAATGGTCAGTCAACAAGTCGATCCAGTTTGGTCCGGTTTAACTGAACCGGTCAAATATTGTTGAAGGAATGGGTCGATTTGCGTGGATTTCAAGTCGGGTCATGGGCACGTGCGGATCCTTTCTTGCCCAAACTGACATCGTTTTGTTTTTTATTTTTTATATAAAAAGCTTTTTTTAGCTCATTTATTCCCTTCTTAAAAAAAAAATCTCTAGCCTTCGAAAATTCTCTCTAGTTTCACCGGAGTCCGATGCTGTATCACTGCATCAATCGTCGTCTGAGATCGTTGTTGGTGGTCATTGTCGATGATTGTCGGTGACTGAAAAATACCAAAAGTCACAGAAAATTTTCTTTGGATTTTTTTAGCCCAGATTCATCCTTTTTTGTGAGAAATAACCACAATCAATATAGATTGGGGTTTAAAGTTTTGATGTTTTTCTCTTTTTTTCTAAAACTAAACTGATGATCTTTTTTTTTGTGGAATGGTTTTGGCACTGAGGTGCTTCCTCATGGGGAGGACTGTTTTTTTTTTTTTTTTGGACGATTGGAGATTGTTTGGGTATTGCTAGGGTGTGGGTTAGGTGTTAAAAGTGTTGAAAGGTTCTCAAAGTATAAGGGTATGCGCTAGGCTAAGAACAAGCAAGGGCTAGTAGGAGGCATGGCTGAGTGTTGGGTCTATTTGGGGCTGTTGAAAGGCGCTCGAACGGTGATGAAAAGTAAGCTCTTGGTGTATGGAGGGAGTCTGGGACTTTGGGGGTTGTGGTGTGCGAAGAGCTAGGTCATTAGGGTGTGGAAGAGTTGGGGCTTCCGAGTGTGGGAGTTGGGGTTTTTTTTTTTATTATTGTGTCTGAAGATCCTCCAAAAGGAAAAGGGGCTTGGTGCTTGAGGAGTTGGGTGTTTGGGATAATGGGTAGAGTATGTGGTGGCTGTAAAGGATAGCTACAGGTATGGTTAAGGGCTGTAAGGATGATTGGTCTAGTGACTGGAAGTATGGCTAGGATAGGCTGTAAGGGGTGGCTACAAGTATGATTGGTCTGGCTGCAAGTATGATTGGTGCTAGTGGTGCCATGTATGGTACCATTGCCACTCCAATCTTTTTTTTTTTTTTTACTTTTTTTATTTTAGTTATTTGTTTTTATTAATTATTGTATTTAATTATTAATTAATTTTAATATTAATAAACATAACTTAAAAAGAAGATTTAATCTAGTAGATCCAGATAAAATTCAATGTCTACACAAAACTTTAGCATTTCTAAATCTTCCTTTGCTCATTTGGGATAATGAGATCTGGCAGGCAAGAACGATTGAAAGCAGTAAAGAAATAAAGCTTACCAATCAATGTATGAATACAAGATCACTGCTTGATCCACAAATTTGATAGCGTGAAGTTTAAACCTGTCCAGCAGGCATCTTGGCCTTTTCACGACAGGTGGTGAAGTGATACCATTTTGTAGGTTTTACCATATGACTCCATTAGTTTACAGTCCACCCCAAATTCAACAGAGATAATCAAACATTTTGTCCTCTGCTTTAGACTAATGCCCATAAATGGCTTTAAATCCAATTCAATTCATAAACCACCCAACTGAAAATTTATAGAAATTTAGGTAGAATTTTGAATCATTAAGTTATGGGTTCAATCAAAATTAAGTAGGATAAAAGAGCAATACAAGATTAACTGAAATTTGATAATTATTCTTCAAATCATTGAAATTATGTTGGTTAAGGGCTAAGGCTATGATTACTATTCGAGCCTATTAAGATAATGGCAACATCATTTACTCATTCGATTATTAACATTAGAACAATGATATTTTCACCCTCGAAACGTCACCTTGAAAAACCTCAGTTTTGTGGCCTTGGGATAAAAAATGGATCTTAAACTGAACTCTTAAGCCTAATTTCAATTCATTTTTACTTATCCATCTTGGTCTATTATCCATACTAAAGGCCCAAAATATTCAACCACTTTTTAGTGTATCCAATCGAAGTGCAACTAACCAAGTTTCATCAGCAACCATATAAGTCCCAACGCAAACCTCTCTGTCTCCCTTTGACACATCAACTAAAGGAGTGAGTGGGCGCAGCCCTCTCTCTGCGCCAACTTGATGTCGTACGTGTTTTGCTGTCGCGTGCACACGCCACCCCGCCCAGGTTTGCCGCTTCTAGTCATCAGGCAACCCAAGTAACCAAACCAACCAAAACCAACCGCCCCCACTTCCCTCATTCTCTCCCTCTTTACATCCCTCCAGGCCCTCCGTTTTTTGTCATACCCTCAAAAAGCAAATGCTCCCCCTCTTTGCTAACTTACGCCTCCCCTCTCTTCCCTTATCCTACTCCCGCCGCCACCTTCGCTACCCTTATGTCAACTCCAACTTCTCCTCCTCTGCAATCCTCCTCCGCCACCGCGACACGGCGGGTCCCTCCACCGTGCTGGAGTAAGGAGGAAACCATGGCGTTGATTGGGGCATACAAGGATAGATGGTTCGCTCTCCGACCCGGGAACCTGAAGGCATCTGACTGGGACGCCGTGTCCGCCACCTTATCATTCGCCATTGATACTGGAACTACGAAATCGTCTGTTCAGTGCCGGCATAAGATCGAGAAGTTGAGGAAGCGATATCGTGCCGAGAAGCAACGGAGCCTTAAAAATCCAGGCAAGTTTTATTCTTCTTGGGACTTGTTTCCTCTGCTTGATTCTATGAATTTTGCCTCGACGTCGGTCGTTGGATCTGATGATCAAGATCATATTGTTGATCATAAAGTAAGTATATTTGAGGGGTTTTGCTTGAAATCGAAGAAGCATGAAAGTATTGGTGGGAATTATGGGTCTAATCTAGATTGTGATCCTGATTTTAGAGGTTGGTGTGGATCAAATTTTGATTTTGATCACAAATTCGGAGGTGGGTTTGGGGTGAAATGTCATGTTAATAGGGATTTTGTGGCTAGAGGGATTACAAAATTGAAGAGTAATGGTAGCGTTGGCAATGCTTATGGTTCTACGGTTGATTTTGATCATAGTTTTGGTGAAGGTGTTGATAGTGTTGGAGGGTTTCCTCTCAAGACCTTAGGTAATAGGAGTTTCGTGAAGCTGGGATTCAAGCTAAAGAATTATGGTAACCCTAATCTAGATTATGATTATGATAGTGATTTGGAAGAGTATAGCATTGATGAAGGAATGGGGTTTCGGACAAAAGTTTCAGGTGCTTGGGATTCAGTGCCTAAAGGTTTTCATCAGAAGAAACGTGGTAGAGTTGATAGGAGCTTTGACCCTGCTGTTGACCGTGGGGGTTTGAACGGATTTTCTTCTTGTTCAAGGCCACGGCTTGGCAGGAAGAATGGTAGTGCTGGACTCAAGAGGGGTGTGGATCCAGTTGAGGAGATGGTTTCTTCCATTAAGTTGTTGGCTGAAGGGTTCGTGAGGATGGAGAAGATGAAGATAGAGATGGTGAAGGAGATGGAGAAGATGAGAATGGAGATGGAGATGAAGCATAATGGGATGATACTTGAGTCACAACAAAAGATCACGGATGCGTTTGCCAAGGCTTTGTTGGAGAAGAAGAAAAGGAAAAAGAAACTGTCCACGCTGTTACCTAATGTGAATGGAAATGGGGTTGAAGGATGGCAAGGTGATGACATGGTAGAAACAAAAAAGCTAGATGTACTGTAACCTAATGTTCAGATAGTATAGTTTAGTTACATAGTTATATTTATGTAATCTTTTAAGTTGACCAAATGTTTTTGGAAACAGAGCAACTTAGATTGATGCTCTTTTTTCTGTTCAAAATTAAAATGAATTTAAAGGAGGAGATTGTCTCCCATAATTTGCCAGTGTTCTTGATCTATTCACTGTGAATTTGTAGTGGCTTTCAGTCCCGCCTTAAGTACTATGATGTAAACAACATAATTAAGTTTCTGCATCTAGATTTAATAAATGCAATTCCTTTTTCTTAGATTGCATGAGTCATGACTAGATTTATGTGAAATGCACATTTCTTCTAGATTTAATGCTACATAGGGTACAGATAAAACTGTATGTATGCATGCTCTGTATGTTCTTTCATCTTAGAAAGCAGCACTTGAAGGTTTCTTTCATGATGGTTCTCACATTGATGACATTGCTTCTTTATCTACCTTTTTGAAGTGTTGATGCATTGTTGTTAAATGTTCGACCTGGAACAAACATAGTGTGCAACATGAGAGGTTCAAGAGTGTGGTTCATTGCTTTTGTTCTATATTTGCACATTTATGCTGTACCACTTAAGTTGTCTGTTCTGAGCATATAAGTTTCCCCTTACAAGCTTGAGAATCAAGTAAGAGTGGATAAACCAAAAACCAAAACCAAACCATGAAACTGAAGATTCATATCCAGTTTAATTTGAATTGTGAGATACACATTCTTATTTCTTTGCATTAGTTTTTTCTACTTTTTGAGGCTTCAACTTCTGTCCGTCCATTAAGGTTTCTAACTAAGAGAAAGAGAAAATTTTGGTTTCTAAATTCATAATTCTGGGCCTCTAGTTCTTGGAAGTTGGAACTTTTAGGACCTATGGAAGGCAGGGTGTACTGCTTTTGAATCCTGTAGGGCCATTTTTCTCCACCTTTAGCGAACTTAAAATTTTTTAAGAAATTATTATTAAGTGATTTGATTTTATCGACTAAATTCATCCTCTTCATCTTGATGAAAATATACTGGTTCGAATTCTCTTGAAAATTAAGATTATTTTAAATATATGATTTATAATTAAATACCACATATCTTATCTTAAAAGATTAAAAAACCTATTTACCTTCTAATTTCAAAAAAAAAATTTTTTTAAGTTGTTGTTAACAATTAAGTGATAGCCTAGGTCTAGTCTACGTCTAAATTCTAACCCATTTCAAGCATTTCTGGGAGTAACTTAATATGGGTGTGGTCAAGTCAAGTAGACGCATTTATACTCAACAATGAAATTTGAGGCTTGAAACATGATTGAGCATCTTTTTTTATGCTCGGACTCCATTTGAAAGGGAAGCCGGTTGTACTTGAACTCGACTTAAGTCTCAATTTAAAACATGCTTATGCGTTTATCAACAGAAATTTGGCATGTAATAACTAATATTATCTTCGTCAAATGCTAAAAATTAAATCAAAATAAAAAAAATTGAAAAGATAAATTTTGTTAAACGAATTGTGTATGCAATGTTTAAATAGCAATATTTATATGTTCTTCTATTGTCAGTGATTCATGATTAACTTCTCTTTTTAAACATATCCACTCAACTTATCGTACAATTTTATTCTAATTTTCATCACAAGTTTACCTTGGTGTATAGACTTTTTGTAATGGCCGAAATCCATTTTTGAAAGACCTCATCATGTTTTTTCTTTTTTAGTTTAATATTATTTCTTAGTTCATTTTTACTCCTTGCATTCTTTTTTCTTTCAATTAGGTGAAGATTAAAGCTCCAAACATCTATAATAATATTAAAAAATGGTTAGTTGAGTTGGAGTTACAAGTTAATTATAAATTTATTTCGAAATCAAATTAAAATTACAATAATAAAATAAAATTAAAACTATTTATTATCTTTTAATTAAAAAAAAAAAAAGCTAACTACTCATTCGACATCAAAACATAATTTTCTTTTTTAATTTACATTTTCTTCATTTTCACTCACATGGTGAGCGTGCATTATCTAGTTTTGATGATAATGCTCATGAATGTTTTGCTTTGCCGTTTGAACCCTTTGAACATGATTTTGGGTTGCCTTAAATTTTCACCCTTTGCTATTTCAGGCGTGGGAGGCATTCTTTATTTTACATTTGTCTTAAATTCTGAGTTGCATAAGTTATGCGTGCTTAGCGTTTCTTGGAACCAAAATGCTAACAAATACGACGACATCGTATTGTTTTATTTTATTACAAGATACAAACAGATATTCGGATGACGTGTTAGTTTCATAAAGGTAATAATAGTTTGTTCCAACATCAGACAAATGCAAGGATGGCAACGAAGACGAGAGAGTAAAATCAACTTTGGATTCTTGATGTAAATGAGAGCTAAGGAGAAAACAAGGGACTGTGAAGTGTGAACCGACGAAAAGAAACTGAAAAATATAAAGGGAAAAAGGTGTGTGAGAAAACACCTAAAACATTGGGCCACCAAAAACTAGGGAAGAATAGGTTTCTTTTCACCAATCAAAGTGCGCAAACAAGTACCTAAAAAAATGTATTTTACATCAGATCTCACTAAAATATAAGATCCTTCTAACTCAAATAATCAGTATCTTGAACAATATGAACAGATAACTACTTTATGTCACTCATAATAATTTTCGTTTATACGAAAACTTTTCTTACCATTGAAAATTCTATAGTTTTCAGTACAATCTTGCATGGTTGAATTAATGGTATATGACGGTTGCTGTTTGATTAGGGTTCACTTCTTGTTTTTGTTTCCTCTTTCATGGAAGAAGCTAGCTAGCGAACTAGCTCTGAAAACCAGTTGCATGCTTTGTAGTATTTGTTTGCGCAATAAACCAGGCTCACGAGGTTCCACGAGAGTAAGACAGCTCAAACCACCGCATGTTTCGTGCATTATATTTGGTTGATTTCATATCACACCTGGATCACACCTGATAAACTAGAGGTAAAAATATAAAAGGCACCAGATAAATGTTTGGATGGAGATCTCATTCAGCCTACTGTATCTCTTTCTTCTTCTCTATTAATTACTTTTCTTCTCAATGACTTGGGCATTACAGTGTGCCTCAAATTCTAACTTTAACGCTCCCTGAACTTTTTCTCTATGAACCAACTCAACCTCTAATTAGCTCTACTCTTATCTAACCCAGAAACGCATCAAAGGCACATATTCATAATCAAACCTCATATTCTTATACATAGTAAAAAATCAGTTTCATTAACATATATAGTAGTAACTGTTTTCTAGCAAGATTAAACCTCAGGGAACCATGAATTGAAGGCCATTGGCATTTGGCAGTGTGAACATCTACCTTAATAACTCATCTGGGTGGATAGATAAGGTATATATCGGTCATGTTATTCCTTTTCAAGCTTTAGGTTCTATTCTACGGGATAACGATACCTTTGTTATATACAAAGGGAAAATGTTTATGTTAGCTGACAACCTGCCCATTTTGGATAAGTAAATGACAAAAAGACAACCGAGTTGGCTGCTTGGCTTATACTATTACCACACGAGGTTCAATATTGTGCTCATATCATAGGAGGGTATATGGCCCAAATATTCAATCATCTTTGCCACTCCTAAAAAGTGTATGGTATTGACCTCTCTCACACATCTGGTGATGGGATCAGTACCATGGCACAGATGAAAGGGAGAAAAAGAACAGGAAAGATATAAAAAAGTACCTTTCTCTCTCAGTTGTTTTTCCTATTAAGGTATATTTTGCCATGCTTTTATCGTATTGGAGTAGTCGCATTTGTTCATCATTGGTATCATCTTACAGGCTTTAACTTGGTTTAATGAGTAAAGGTTTATGGAATTGTTAATCAACTGGTTAAGAAAGAAAAAAGGAAATGCTTAAATAAAATAGAAAATGGAACACAATGAGACGAAAAGCTTGATATTCTAATTTTGATTGAACTTAAATTGTTAAACATCAAGCTTAATTAGTAGGATAGATGGGTTTGGCACTTCATTGGCAGCCATGATCTCCATCTCCATCTCTTCTGCTTCAAAAGTTGAGTGAACTCCATATAACACATAGAATACAGTTATCAAGCATGTACATATAGCAAACCTTAGGAATGAGAGCAACTTTAGTGTTGTCATAAGGAAGACATTAAGGAAAATTGAAGTGGCAGCCGGCCAAGGCATGAACGGCACTGACCACTCACTAGGCTGACCAAGGCAAGGGACCATGTACTGGAAGAAGGCTGTAATGGTGATCATGATTCCACCAAATAGAGGTAATCCCCACCATTGCTGTTTCAGTTTCCATGAAATAGAGAAGCCTACTGCACTTGATGTTAGGAGGAAGAGGAAGGACAGTGTACGGAAAGGTGGATTTTTTCTTGTTATCACATATTTTCGATAGATAAGAGCATTGGCCACCAGGTAGAACACCAACAATGTGCTGATGTTGATCATTTCAATCACTATTTTCAGGTCTGTGAAGAGTGCTATTGATGCTGTGCAAAGCCCTACATCATGGAGACATATCAATTCTCTTTATTATTTCTTTTTTTTTTCCTTCCTGAAATGACTTTATTAACATAGTAATAATCCCTCCTTTATGTGATTTTTTTTTCAGGTTGATGTGATAGGCTAAGAGAACACAGTGATAACCACAATTACAATATGGTTTGTTTGACTGAAAAAATATATTATTTTATTATTTCATGTCCCCTACATGAAATAGAATACTTCCCCTTGATCATGAGTTCAATGATGATAGATACAAGGTATATCTAATAACAACCAGAATATGGTTTTAAAATGCAAATCATAAATGTTTTTCATGGTGAGCTCTTCATTGTTAATTTTTCTCTTTTTTTTTTTTCCTTATAAAAGAAGAGGTCAAGTGCGAGAAGGGGGAGGGGTTTGGATATAAAAGAGAAATTTGTGTAGAAATACACCAAAATGAATTATCAAGATAGCCTTATAGCAAATGATATCGAGCACTTCCCAATTATCCTTTGTCATTCCCATGTCATGTACTCTTTGTGAAGTGTAAATTGTAAGTTAGTACAACATAAAAGGTTCATGAAGAAGTTACAAAATTTGGAAAAATAACATACCCAAAAAGAGTGTGGCATTCAATGGGGTGCCTGTTGAAGGATGCACCTTAGATAGCCAGGATGGCACTAGCCTGGCCCTTCCTATAACACAGAGGTACCTGGCTTGGCCTAACATGGCAACCAAGAGAGAAGCTACTATCCCCAAGCTTGCTCCTGCCCCAACAACATTCCCCGCCCACTTCCAACC